CCACCACCACCACCACCACCACCACCACCACCACCACCACCACCACCACCACCACCATCTTCGCTACCTCTTTCATTTTCTCCAAAAGCGCACACCTCCGAATTAGAATCTTCAATATCACTCTCACTTCTTCCGCTTCACTCTTCAGTTTCCTTGCAATCTCAAATGCCATTGATACAACCGACGACACCTAACAGTAGCAGAAGTAATAAGAATAGGACACCCACAAGAAAGTGTTCCACACCATTATGCAACAGGCCTAAGATCACTGTCGAGGACTTACTGAAAGTCACCCTGAAAAAGGCTCCACAAAATATCAAAGTACTGTCTAAATTCTGTAAATTAGTAAAATTGCATCCATCACGATAAAATCATGAATATAAACTTCTAAGATCTATGTGATTGTCTTAGATCTCATAAGATTTTTATTTTTTTAATTGATGAATGCAAATCATATGAAAATTAATCTGAAGTTTGATTAGGACAGATTCATAAAAAATCGGATCGTATCAGAAAGTTGTAATTTTCGAACAACCTAACCTTCCCTTTTAAAGGAATGTGTGAATCCAAGACTGTTTAGAAATTAAAAATAAGTATATCAAAAAGAATTTTATACTAGAAAAAATTAGAAATATTTTTTTATATTTACATTTAATTATATTATATTTACATTTAATTATATTATATTTACATTTAATTGTAATGTAAACAAAATTTGTTGTTTTTTAAATTTTGTTTCTGTCCTTGTTGAATAAAAAATTAATACGCTGGTATATGTATATGTATGCGAAAAATTAAAAGCTCTTTTATATATAATTCAATGTTCATCCATACTTAATGACCGAGTATAAAAAATAAAAAATTATATTCCATTTCAGGAAAATAGACGAAGTATTGTATCAAGCCCAAGAGGTCCGATTGTGTCCTTGGAAATGTTGCGTAATGTAAAGCTGAAATCCGCGAAGCGTAGACCTAACGCTCAAACTGGAAGATCACCCAGAAATGGTCGAGTCATTAAAAACCGAATTGCATCAAATGTCAATCTCTCGCCGATTTTGACTGGTTCGGAAGGCAATTTGGAGCGAATTCTGCGGCGAGTAGATCTAAACAGGCCGAGGAGACTCTTGTCCAGCTCAAGCAGCTTCCGCGAACGTGATTTCACAAGGGAGACGCAGTGTCACTCGTTGGAAACATTGGCGTACAGTCAATCACAATCCACGCTTGAATGACTACAGTATCATGAATTATGTATGTGATACAAGAAACATCAGATACAAGAAACTTATAATCATAGAATTGTTAAAGAAAATTTGCAGTATACATTGAAATAATTTATTTGCTTGCATATCATAAATATATTTAAGAATAGATTTAAGAATTTTTAGAAAGATTTATGGAAAGAGAGAGAATTTAAAAAAGAACTCTTTATCAACTGTATTATTAAATATAAGTATACTACACATAAGTGGGAAAAATTAGAAAAAAATTAATTAAAAATGTTATGATATATAACACAAGAAAATTCTCGTTTCTGATGTCATAAGCAGCGTTCCATTGCACATATAAAAACGATACTTTATGCGTGCAACGGAACGTAGTCATAATATGATTGCAATGAAAGACTAAAAGTCTAAAATTTAAATCGCAGACGTATGACATATTCGTCATATAAAATAAAAATATCTAAGTTATATATTCAAATATTTAAAATTAAATTAATATTTAACACAAGAGCTTAAAGCTCTTTGCTGCAAAATTTTTCTACAATTGGCTGGCCGAAAATTTAAATCGATCTCTTAATAAAACTGTGACCAAGGCATAGATTTATAATTATTTTATTTGTAGCTTTCATGTGTGTAGTTTTACAGAAAAAAAAGATTGTATCCAGTATTCGCATCGACTGTAATACAGAGCGTAAGAACGCATGCGGATCCAAGAATGTAAAATCAACAATTCCTCCGAACGATGATGAAAAATCAAAAAAGCATGACTTCGTACTATTAATTGTTAATAGCGATTAATTTTTATTGAAATCAATGAAATCGAATAAAGGTGGTTTGAAATTTAGTTTTCGAAATAATCCAGATGATCTCCGATTTATATATTGTACAAACGTATAATCGGATATTAGGATAACCCCAAAGAGCTAATAATTCATCGACGTTCAGAGATCCCTACCAGCATTCGTTGCCACGTGACGCGTTATTTTTTTTTACTTTTATGTAGCTAAATTCCTTAAAACAGTTTGCCGCACAGATACATGCTATGTACTTGAGAAATATATTTATATATTTATATATATGCGCTTGCGTTTTACAGCCTACGACAGCATCCGCCTCGCTCCGCAGTTCTTAATTTAGAGCTCTGTTTACCTTGCACACAGTTTTCGCGCGATTTAATCTTCTCGATTATAATCGACTCAATATCATGTCATATACTCGAGTTAATGCTCACCCGAGTTCCTCGGATGACTCCCTCGCGTCGAGATTATTTCTTTGTTTCTTTTTCTCCTTCTCTTTAGCTTACTTATTACGTTCTTACAATTACATTCGCAAATATACTTACTTATTTTACGAGAGCCGGTTGATATTATTTTGAATTATTTCTCATAACGTGTGTCATTTGTAACATTATCAATTTTATCATTATGATACGTAAATACAGGGGCACGATGGACACCAATTATTTTCTGCTTTTTCATCTTCCTCACGGAGGTTGCAATCCGCGTTTTTTTCTCACCGAATTATGCTTTTCTTGCTGGTGCCGAACGCCTTGCTTCTCTGCTGCGTTTAAATTCGGCGTCTCCTCTCCGTCACGTTATCAGCGAGAAAACTGAGTGAGCTTAAATGGATTTTGGTAGTTCTAGCTATATAATAAGTAGATAAGTTTAATGCGTAAAATGGTCAATAACTAGCTAAGCTTACCTCATCAATCTGAAGAAAGGATACTTTTCACTGTAAATCTCTACGATCCTGACAGACTCCTCATTATAAGAACAATGGAATGTTTCAACGTAAAAATCGATGGAATGGCTCGTCGATGAATCGGCGAATGGACAATTACAAATACTGATTCCGACTATCGT